TGAGCTCAAGCAATCCTTCCGCCTTGGCCTCCCAGAATGCTAGGATTACAGGCATGAGCCACAGTGCCCGGCCAGGCCCCAAGGTTTTAGATGAGGCATTGTGAACATGTATCGATACCTACACTATTTCTTCACATTTTAAGAGAGTATTATCTTAGTTTTGATGCATTTGGCATAAAGCACAGTAGGGAAACAGATCCCTCTTTTTATGTGAAATTCTTGGAGAATTAAGCATTCTTTGTGTGTGTGTTTTCCATACACTCATGCTTGATGTTTCCTTATCCATAAAATCGGGATAACAACAGTACCTACCTCGTAGTTTAAAGAGCTAATGTACAGGATCCAACATATAAAAAGTATTTCAGTTAATGTTAGTCATTATTATCTCACCCTTTGAATCAACAAAACATTTTTCCAAAGACATTCTGGATGAAGATTTTTATGCTTTCCCAACCTCTGGAAGTGCAATGAAACGTGTCCCCCCTTCTTCACAAATGTGAAAGAAGTAGCAGAGAGTGCCAGAATTTCTTGAGAACCTAGCATGTACTTCGCACTTTTAATGAACATTATTTTTCCCATTTCGCAGATGCAGAAACAGATCCCCAGACGTTGAGTACCATGATCCAGGTCACCCTCTAGCAATGGGTAGATTAACTTCTCTTTCCACTTCACCTGCCCCGAGAGACGGGTGTAAAACATACTGTCAGCGTGAGAGAGTCAGCCGTGTGGGCCTCGCCCCCGCATACTTCTGGTTACCGTTTTCATCGGTTATAAGAATATTCTCCGTTTGTGCTAAGTATAGGTACAGACATACTTCAGTCTCAAATTTTCTAATTATGCTCCATTTTATCTGCCTCTCCACCAGTCCCTCCCCTCCACCCACCTCCCAAAAGACCTCTGGAAATAACCTCCATTTAGCCCATAATAGTTAAGCCTAATTTTCAGACAAGCTGGAAGCAGTATCTGTAAATTTGATCAGGGCTGGGAGGAGGAAAGGGATGTAGGGTGAGGTAAGAGTCTGGTGGTTGCGCACGGAGGCCGTGGGAGGGAAGTGTTCACTGCGAGAGGGAATTACCTGACCCGAAAGGAAATCAAGTTTATTGCAACTCGACTAAGTAAACAGCAACGTAATCCGGCTCTTCAGTTTCTGATGTGGACGCTTTAAATGAGAGTGTGCCGTATTCTCCTTTCCTTCCCCAGCGCACGCATTGCAGAGCCGGCCTCTCTCCTCCTCAGCCTCCGGCACGGCTTCTCCGTGTCAGTCCTCGCGGCCAGGCAGGAAATGTTCCGGCCCGGGACAAGCCTCGCACACGGAGGGGACCGGGCGTGGGGGGCGGGGTGGGTGAGAAAGAAAAGAAAAGAAACAAAGAAAGGAAAACAAAAACTTTACTGGAGCAGGTCGCCGGAGCCCCCGAGGATCCCGGCAGGCTTCCATTTTCTTCCTAGAGGCAGCGACCGCGCCCCCCGCCCCGGCACCCGCGCGGCCCGCCCCGCCCCCACCCGCGCTCGTGGGCGTGGCCCCAGTGTATGCAAATGTCCCGCCGGGGAGGGCCGCCCGGCCCCTGACAGCCGCGGGACAGGCTCCGGGCGCAGGACGCGCGCCGCGGCCGCGGGTGACGGGCTCCGGCGCGCTGGCCCATGCTGGTCCCGGCCTTTGTTCTGGGGCCGGCGCCGGGACATGCGCGGCTGACGATGGAGGTGGAGGACTCGGGCGGCGTGGTGCTCACCGCCTACCACTCGTACGCGCGCTCCCAGCCCCCCAGCGCCGAGCCGCGCTGCGCGCCCCGCGCCGCCGCCAGCCACCCGCTCAGCAGGTACCGAGAACCGCGCCCGCGAGGGCGGCCGCGTCGGGCGGGCGGGGGGTTTGCTCGTGCAGCTGTGTTTTCTGCCGGGGCGTGCGACCACCGTCACATGTTTCGAATTTTGGTGGACTAGATGACTGAGCCTAGTGTTCTTTGTATTGTCCTTGATTGGAAGTGGGAAGTGCACGAAGTCGCCACCAGCTAAGGCTGAAATCGGCTCACGGAGATTAGCAGCGGAATTGTATTCTCCGTACAACTCGATGATAGACAGATATATACCTCATTTCTGCCAAAGTTGCCTGTAAAGTACTGGAAAATTTAAAAATATTTAAAATGAAACACAAGCAGAAAATGCAGGAAAAAGAAACATTATCCTAAATCAAAATACTTATGAATACTACTGAGAGCTTCTTTAGTAACTGCATGCCACTTGAGCTAAAATGAAGGGGAACTCAAGTTTTAGCTCCGGTGGCATGCTAGGTTAAGAGATTCTCTAAAAAGTAAATCTCAGACTTTTAAAAACAATTTTATTTCTAGATGTTAAAAACCTTTCAGTTGAATAAATGCATTGGTGTCATTATTTGATTATTGCTAATGTTGACTCTGTGCTGTAAATGCAATTATAGTATTTCCTTTGGGTCAAAAGAGGTCTATGACTATCTCACGATGTTCATTTCAGATTTAATAAATCAGACATCTGTTTAATTATTCTATCAGTGTTCACCCATTTGATGCAAGATCAAGGCCAACAAGACTTTCATTAACTTAAAGAAAAAGTTTAAGTGGGTAGATAAAAATATTACAATAAGTGAGATGGCTTGAGATCTGACATATATTTAGGGGAAGTTTTATTTGTTTAAATGTGACTGATCCATTGATGCATATTTTTCTTTATAAATGGGCAATCTGAGTGGTGTGCTTTTTCATCATGTTTATTTTCGGTCATTTCTTGTCGCACTTTTATCTTTATGTGAAATGATTACTTCTGTTTCCTAATTTAATTGATTTGTGAGGCTTTCAATAGATTGTGACTTTACTTCAAGGAATATCTTTTTGGCTAGTATCCAAGAAAAGAACAAACTCCGTTGGCATGAGATCTATGTTGGGCTTGGCTAACAAAGAAAATATTGTTTCTTCCAAAAAGAACAAGTTGGGTGAAAATCTCATTTTTATATAAAGACAATGACAAGATAACGTATTTCTTCCAGCGTTAGGAGTTGTGCACATTATTTTAAAGGCTACTTGAAGATACAAACTTGCATTTGTCTTTTGGGTGTTTTCTAAACATAATCATTGGCTATAATTACTCAGATTATGAGTGACTAAGATATAAGTAATTTGACAAGAGGCATGAGCCAAGTTTGTGCATTTTTAAATGGTTCTGGTGTAGCTGTCCTGTCTGTAACTCCCAGCAGCTGTCTAGAAGCACTAGCCAGAGTGTGCCACTTGGGCTATTCGAAACTACGTGGGTTTCCAAAGCAAACTGGCGAGAAGTTCTATTAACTCAGCATGTGGTCTTGTGGAATGATAATATGTGAGAGCAAAAGAGTTGCATGTCAGAGCTAGTATTTTACCATATGGTTGCCAATTAGATTTATGCTGTTCCAAGCTTGCATTTTTGGCGACGGCCCTGCCCTCTCTCTATAGGAGCATTGGTGCCCTCTCCATCTGATGCAGGAGACAGATGAACCCCCTACCCCTGCAACCAAATCACAAGAGAATAACTTAATTCCTTGGTTCCCAGCAAAAGCAATCAAAAGGAGGTTCCTGTATTTACAAGGAGCCAGAAGACACCACACCATTAATCATGAGTCTGATAAGAGAAATAATCAGGCCCAAGTTATTAACCTTTGACTCACTAACTAATGATCAATACTTCCTTTCAAGCCAAGAAGCAAGATCATATTGTTCTACTTCTGAAGAAAGCATTCTCTCTTTCAAGAATACCCTTTCCTTTAAATTGCTTACATATTTGTGGAGTAGTGACCAGCATGGTACTAGGAAGCATGGACTATTGTATCTGACTTCCTAAGTATCATTATTCTTTAGTTCTTGGTAGCATAGGTTCAATTCAAAGCAAACCATTTTTTCTTATTTTTCAGGCCTCCACTATACCTGAGTTTGTGTTTTTGAGTTTTCTTTGGCCTATTTCTCCCACTAGAATATAACATAATCTCTCTCTCTCTCTCTCTTTGTATTTTGTTCATTATTTCTACTATTGTATCCTGAGTGTCTAGAACAGTACATTGTGTAGCTCAATAAATATTTGCTGAATAAACCAGTGAATTCCTACCAAGGTTATAAAATGGCCAAGGTAAAATGGTGGGATTTTTAACAGCGGAACTCAACTTATTTGCTCATACTATATGTACCAGCAACATGTTAGGCACTGGGGATGCAAAGATAAATAGGCCGACGCAGTGGCTCACACCTGTGCTCCTAGCACTTTGGGAGGCTGAGGCCAGAGGATCGCTTGAGGCCAGGAGTCAAGACCAGTGTGAGCAACATAGCGAGACCCTGTCTCTACAAAACATTAAAAAATTAGCAGGGCGTGGTGGCGTGTGTCTGTAGTCGCAGGCACTGGGGAGGCTGAAGTGGGAGGATTGCTTGAGCCCAGAAATTTGAGGCTATGGTGAGCTGTGATTGAGCCACTGTACTTTGGCCTGGGCAACAGAGCAAGACCCTGTCTCTAAAAAACAATAATAAATTTTAAAAAAATTGTTGGGACTAGGTAGCCATAAAGAAAAGAAAATTAAATTTTTTAAAAAGGGTCTTGTTTTCCAAGAAAAAAGGTGGGTCATTCAAAGCTCAAATATCTGAGTTTTATAGCTCCCATCTCAATTTAGAAAGGTTTAAGGGATCACTTGTTCTTATCTCATTTTGTAAATTGGTTAAAACTATGTATTTCACTGGTTAAAAGTATAACATATATGGGACATAATGAATGAAACCGCCTCAAATCATATAAATACATTGGCCTTTAGACGGAGTTATAGGTACCTACCTAAAAGATTCTAGGTTGGGATAGAGGTTGACAATAAGTTATTCTCAGATTTAAATTCATTTTTTAAAATTGGAATTCAGTATAGATAAATTAACATTTTGATCTCTAATATACATATCATCCTTTGTTCATCTCATCCTGACACTACTGGAAGTTCAGTAAATTGAGGATACACATTGTGCCAGTAAATAAGAGCAGTTAATGCCTCTTTGTTCTTCTGTTTTTGCTCTTTGAATTTACTTGGGGAAATCTGCTGTGGCCTTTAAAATACTGTTAAACATTTCCTTCTGAGCCTTTGGGATCTCCCCCCCTCCCTCCGACCTCCCCCCACTTTAACAGTTATTTCTTATTTGTTTTATACAATTTCTGTCACCATATTCCTCGATTCTAATAGACCACAAGGATGGATAGACTTGGTTGTTAATTCTTATAATTAATTCTGTTTTGTTACATTTTCATCTTTTAAAGTTCTCCTAGGAATTAATTTAAAGGACTCTACAAAATCTACTTTTGCTGTGACTTCTTAGCAGTATCGCATACTTGTAACATTGAATTTTAATTTGTTTCTTTGGAGCTCAAAAGCAAGACAACCACCAAGATTCACTGCCCTCCTGTCCCACGACACACACATTCACACACAAACTTTTCAACAGTTTAAAGCAAGGGCATAATTCCTTCAGAGGAAGTTTTAGCAAAAGTATTTCAGTCTCACTGATTTTTTATTTTAGTCAACTAATTTTGATGTTACAGCAAGAAAGCATCAGTTTCAGCTTGAATTTCCGTACATTTTATGCTTATTCTTAGTTAGGAAAACAAAACACTTTTTGTGTTTAGTGACTTCATTTATTCAAAAGTGGTGGGAGTCCTAGGCCTGGTGTCTGGTGCATTTCCAGAACAAGGGGATCCAAATCCCTGCAAAATTTATTCATACAGCAAAGAGACTCATGAGTCATAAATATTTGTTGAAAGGAAGGGAAGTTAATTCCTTATTTCACAAAATTCTATATCTGCTTTCTATTGTAAAGGAAGAAAGAGAATGAAGAACTATAAATTCTTAGTTCTGGTAAAAGAAATATTTGGAATTATATTTAGAATCATGATTTTTAGAGATGTTAACCTTCTGTTTAGAATCTGGAGTGAGAATATTGAAAATACACAAAATAATTTCACTGATAAAATGAAAATAAAGCTAAGATGTCTTATTTTTCAAGGATTTCCTAAGTTATATAGAAATAGTGATGTTCAACATTTTTTGGTGAAGATATAGTATAAAATGGTCATGATTATTTTTGATTTTAATCTAGCTATACCATAGCCTTCCTGAGAGGGGACAAAAATAGGGGAGGGAAAGAGCCAGCTCTTCCTCGAAAACAAATATAGACGCTATCCAAGGTTATCCTGGGAATTCTAATTCTACAGTAATGTTTAAACTTTTGTGAAGGGAATATTATTTTCTAATATCATCACTATTCTTTATAATAAGAATAATTTGATTAAAATGAAATTTATGATGATTAGAAAGTAAATATTTTGAGGAAAAACTAAATTTAGCAACATTTATTTATTTATTTAATTTACCTACATATCCAAGAAACTCAGTTTAACAACTTCGTGATGGATTCATTGGTACCTTTCTGGATTGAAATTAATGAATTAGAGGACATTTATTTCAAGGTCCTAGCTCTTGCTAAATTAAACATTTATGTAGGTCTGTGTGAGCATATGTACACATGCACGGGGACACCAAATTTTGAGGCATAGAGGTGTACTTTTTCTAGAGGATTCAGAAATAGTAATGGAAATAGGATTCTAATGAGAGAGTGGGGTATTTATAGGTCATTCTTTATGTTATGGTTGAAACCAGAGTTGGTGTCTCTGGTTTCTTTTTACAGTGGGATCCCTGCTGAGTTTAGGTGCCTCCATCTGTAGAGCTGTTGAAAAACATCTGGTGCATTTCCTTTGATCCTGTCATTTGGCCAAACATTTGGCCAGTTGCTCTATCCATTTT